ACATAGACACACACACATCATATTTTATCTTCAAATATATTAACTTTTTTTTTCAGAACCCAGGCATTGAACCAGGGCTTCATGAATTCCAGGCGTTTAACATTTAAATAATATGAAGGGTTTTTTTCTTAAATACTCCCATATTTGCAGGAGGCAATCTGTATTTTGAAAGAATGAACAAATCAAAATTATTTTCCACCTCTTGTTTCCCTCCAGGCTCTTTGAAAAGGCTTGTTTGTCTAAAGATGACTGCTGATCGCTGCCTGCTGCACAAGCACAAGGACAGGAGTTGGATCCCCAGTACAAAAAAAAAAGATGACTGCTGAGCTTAAGTGGAGGTGAGTCATACACTGGGTAAACAATGTGCAACAATGTGTGTGTGCAGGCATAGAACAAAAAGGCACTTGCCTTTCATACTTCTTATTCGTGTTAAAATATGAATCTTATCTGTTGAAAAATAAAAAAAATTATTTATAATAAGCTAAAAATCATTTGGTTCTAGGATTGTAAAAACTGACACTGTATGTTTAAAATATGAATAAGAATAATTTAAAAATAATATTTACTAATATCTTCCTGAATAAAAGTGCTAGGAATATGATGTGGATTATCTCACTTATAAAATAGCAGTAGTATTTGTGGTTTTAGTGTGTAATTTCCTTATGCACAAATGGCATAGTTAAGATATATATTCATTTGTGGCCAGGTGTGGTGGCAAATGCCTGTAATTGCAACACTGTGGGACGCTGAGCCAGGAGGATCACAAGTTCAAGCTCATACTGGGCAGTTTAGCAACCCAGAGAGACTCTGTCTCAAGGAGCAAAAAAGGGCTGAAGATCTAGATCATGTATAAAGGTCCTGAGTGAACCATTAATACCTAAAAAAATGTATACAGAATTTATAATTTTACTGCATACAAAAATGACTCCTTCAGGATGTGAGACTGACGTGGTAGAAGGTGTAGACTACACTTTTTAGAAGGATTTCATTGAGTTGGAGTTGTCACTAAAGTATACAATAATTTGTTTTTATTGTTGCATTTTGTGCAAATGACAATATGAAGAAAATCAAATATTTTATCTATTTTATAAAAGAAAATTAAAGCTAGCATGTTTTTCAGCCATTTGAGAATTTGTCGGGGTCTCAGGGTCTGCTTTACAATGCCCCATATTTATACTGAGAGAAACTTGAGTCCATTCTGACAAAACATCTTGTTCTAAAGTTAAAAGAATCAAAACACTCTTCTGTAAAATAAACTGCTGTCAATACAAACCTAAAAAGGAGCTTGAAGCCTGTCCTCTAAGGTTTAAGCTTAAGGAAACTCCTACAGGGTAGCCCTGGAGAGCTTCATTGACTTTTCTGCAGCAACAGGTGTAGATTTCAAGGCATGGATCTAAAATCCATTTGTGTTTCACCGTTGCTGCTGGGCAAATGTGGGATTTTATCATCAATCCCTTCACAGAGTTTAAATTAACACATACACATTATTTATGATAAAACTAATAAGATCTCCTCCTTCTTAGATGTAGGCTATTTTTCTACTCATTTCAGGAGACAGTTTGATAACACAATTATGCTTCCCCTTTGCCTTTACTAATCTCAGCTACAGAATCCCTTTCAAATTCATTTTTGAGCTATGGTTTAGTACCTGTTTCACAGCTAAAATAAAATTAATTTCTCTCTTTACTCATTCAGCTGCATGTTCCAGGATCAAATGCTAATTTAGTATCATGATCAACAATTGTGATGTACAAAGAAAACAGTTGGCCCCCTACCTTTTTAAAAGCCAATTGTATTATCTAACTTTTGAATTGCATCCCCACAAATGTATTCAATAGATGACTGACAGGCGAAGCAAGTTGAGCAATAATTATGCTGCATAATCACATTTAATCCATATCTCCTTTCTCTTCCCTATATGAATGTGTGCTAAAAGATTCAATATTAATGAGCTGTCCCCAAATCTCTGGGACAATTCACATAAAACAGAGATGGCAAGAATGTAATTTTAAAAGCTAAAGAGAAGATTCACTGTCTTTTCTGGCTAGAGGATAATACTAAGTTTATGGAAAAGCTCTATGGGGAGGGAGACACTATAGAATCCTCTGTTCAAAGGTCTTTAAGAAAAAAGATTAGAAAAAATGATACCAGGTTCTTCATAATTATGCCCTATTCCAGATAAAACTGTAAATCAGTACTTTATAAGCACGCCAGATGTTTCCAATGTAAATATTCTCTGAAATAAATACAAAGATACTTGCTTAGTTTTTACATATTATATACTGGCTAGAATTTGGGACACTTGGCAATATGCACTATTGGAAAAAAAGCTATCTTATTTTAACTTGAAATTTTAGGCATTTTTGTGTTTACACAATAAATACAATCATTATAGAACATTTAGCAATACAGCTAAATACAAGGAAGGAGTAGAAATCATCCATAATTCCACCTAGGCGGTTATATATTCACCCCTACCACCCACATATTTTAGTAACTGGTAGTTGAACAAATGGATTCATGTGAATTTCTTTCCCACTGCCCTATTAAACATATACAGATGGGAATATTTTGCCTCCGATACATAGAGGAAAACATGGACTGTCCCATTATTTTTCTTTTTGGTAATAACAAGTGCCATAATCAATCTGATTCTGCCGTCTTAGGTAATTAGGATGACTAGTCTCACATTATTATCAAAACTCTACCCTTGATTTAAAACTTCATCATCCAGTCCCTCCACTTGCTCAGATCTGCTGTTGGGAGGGGGTGTGGTCTGCTTTATTTCCTTCCCCATGTACTAACTATATCTCTACTTCTCTGGTGTTGGAGGGGGCTTAAACATTAGGAGTTCCATGGGTAGCGTTTTTCTGACTTCATTTTTCTAATAGAAGTCCACATCTTCTGGGGCTCATAGATGTTAAAAGCTGCCTCTGGGTCTCATGGGCACTGTAAGTTTACTGAAGCTGCCACTGCTGTCATTTCCTTGATCTGGAAAATGTAACTAATTTGGCTGTCACTGACTTTGAGATCCACATCCTAAGTGAAAACTCTGGTACAGCAGGGAAAGTGAATGACACTGGATTTCTGTGTTAGCATTTGCACCGAGTCTGTGGGAATTACATACACACCCTTCTATTCCCAATCCCAACACAGACAACCCTTTCTGATCATTTATTAGCTATTTGTTGAGCCTAACTCTTACCTTTGGGTTTCTCTCTGTGTAAGAGATTAGTATACCATGTCCTCTATACTGCAGGGGGCAAACACTGAGCCCTCCATGTAATTCCATATGAAGTTCCAGGCAGCAGTTATGCGGTAGTAGATTTCTCCAGTTATTGTGAGGGGCTTTGCAATATTCTAACCTATTTTCAGTTATTTCCTGTGACATGGTGATGGCTGGTAGATACTTTTGAAATGTTTGTTCTTTATCTTAGACTATGAATTAATATTCTAATTTAGCATCTAAATTATCTACCCTGATTTACTACAACAACAACACACACACATACACATGCACACACCACACAGACCCATACATACACCTTAAAGACTCAGGGTCTGAGGTGAGACTACCTAGGTTGAAACCTTGATGCTTTCATTTAAGGAGCTCTGTCTTTGAGCTATTCTCATCTTGTTCTCTACCTTAGTTATCTCATCTTTAAATTGAAAGTAATAATCTCTACCCCCAAAACATGGTTATTGTCAACATCGATGTGACAATGTGCAAACAATGCTTATAGCTATAAAAACATAATCATTATTATGATAATTATAAATGTTATCTTTTAACTTATTTGTTTGACTTAGGGTTTTCATATAATTAAATATTCTTTTAAAGATTACATAGTGTACATACAACATCTTTTTCAATACTGAATGGAATGTGTGGAATTTTCTAATATTTTGTCATGTTGTTGATCATCACTGTTTCCTCAAATACACTTTAATTGAATAGGCATTGCTGAGTCAAAATTGTATAACTTCGAAGCACTTAGTACATACTGAAAACAAAATATATGTAAAATAATATGAAAGCAAAAATAATATTATTTTGCACTATATTTTTAAAGCTATATTAAAATTTTGACCTGTTATCTACTATTAGACACTATTACAAGTAAGTATAAGAACATCTTTGAGAAATAATGAAATAAATGTAAGATGTTCTCTTCTTTCCTAATAAAGTATGTCAACATAGTTTTGGAAATATTTTTAGACCTTGGAATTCTCAAAGCTATTTTAAGATTATCTGCAGAACCAGGGAATTCCAATGACATAACTACACTGACCATTCTTTTTAAATAGTAAAAAAAAAATGAAGTAAGAATGAGCAGCAGTGTCTATTTTGGTGGTTCATTACCAGATACTTAGATTGAACTGCTTTAATTATGTAAATTCATCTAGTGGATGAATGTTAATAAACTTCTATTTAAATAAAATAAATCAAAATTCTTTCTTCTCGTTAGGCTATTATATCTTAATTAAATTCTGAAGCACAGTCAGTAGCTTCAATGTTATACAGTTGGCAAAGTCAATCACTAACGGGTATAAATCAGCCAGCTACTTGTCTAGCGTAAGGCACATGGCAGTTAGTCGGTTTTAATAATAGAAGTTTCACACAGGTTATGAAAAAGTGACACATAGTTCTCATTTTTAGTATTTCAGATAGATACTATTATGGAGAATACGCTAACTTTATCAAGGTCCCCCAGACTCACCAATACCTTGCTTCAGAAATCATGTGTCTTAAGGAATAAAAACATCAACTTACTTGTCTTAAAGATCTTACCTTAAAATATTCAATTTTTGAAAAAAATCTCCCTGTGACACTCATGTTTTCCCTCCCTTTTTTCCCCCCTCTCTCTCTCTCACAGACACACACACACACACACACACACACACACACACACACAGAGAGAGACAAAGTCCATACTCAAAAAGACATATAAGTCCAACCAAACAAAGAAAAATATTCACCCTTACACCATTAGACCAACCTTATAAAGTAGTGGTAATTTTCCTAATTTCATGAGTGCAATATGATTTGTTACATTTTTCACTTTTTTAATCCTTTTTAAATCATCTGCAGTTCCATAACTCACATCAATGACTTCAGCCTGAAAGAGAAGAAAACACAAAAACACAGCCTTAGAGGAAGAATTAAAGCTGATTGTGAATTTCATGTGACAAAACTATTTGTAATAAATGAAATCTTTAACAGAGAGCTAATACTGTTTTTTACCCTGTCCCAATCATGATAAACAAAACTTTTCTATTTTTATCATGGTACAATTCTTCTGTTCACTTAGAAAAAGAGTGTTGATCATTTTTACTTTGCCCTTCATCTCCTAAGCAAATCAAAAATGTAATATATTCCCCTAACATACCATAAAGTTTCATTTATTTTATATCCAAATTTCTGGAATTTGAGTTATTTTATGAATAATCGCAAGATTTTTTTTTTAATTCAACAACAATCACTTCATTCTCAGGCTTGAAATAAAACCCAAAGATTGTTCATTGTTTCAATTTTCAGAGCAATTCAAATCATTCTCATGGCCAGCTGTAAATGAAAACCCCTTGAGCTGTGTAAGATACAACCCGAACAACTAGGCTTACAGGTCTGACATTCTAAGACTTTAAAATGAGATCCCAAATTACCATGTCTGTCATAATTCCCACCATCCCTTACCTATAGTTATTTTATATTCTACATCAATATTACTGACTTTTAAAATTCTTCTTTGTCTAACATAAAAAGTTCATAATTTCCCGGACACCCTAGCAGTAATCCTTTGTTGTTGTTCTCACTTTCCTCCTCCTTGATAAATGCTGGGCTCCAGGTGCCATCAAACACACACTCCTATCAGGTAAGATAATTCCTTTCAACTATACTTTCAGTAATTTCTGCTGTTAAAGTAATAGTTGTCGTGCTTTCCAATGATTATAATGCATAATGTGGTATTTGACATTATAGCACATGTCCAGACACATCAATAAAGGGAATTAGTGGTAGCAAAAGGAGATAGAGATGGAGATGGAAAAGCTAGACCTCTAACTCTTCACTCTTCTCAATCAGCTTTATACAAAGGTCACACGTAGAAGATTCGTTTGAAGGAATGATTTTGTTTCTAGAAGAACATATGAATACCACTGAGAGAACAGTAAATCTACCCATTGGTGCAAACATTTCTAGAATGAAATTTTTCTTTAGCCATCATTTGTATCTGCAAAAACTCTGTGAATCGATTAAGGCCCACTTCAAATATTACCTCTCTATTGAACTTGATTTCTGAGTTGTCAAAAAACATACAACTTCTCTTACTGTGAATCTTAGTCAATTTCTTCCTCTCTTTAAGCCTTCGGTGGACCGGTCCTTGTATAAAGATAGATAGATAGATAGATAGATAGATAGATAGATAGATAGATAGATAGATAGATCGATCCTAGTTTCAGTTTCCAACACAGGAAAATTCTTCAGTGAGGGGTCCATTATACATTACGTCTTAGAGAGCTCTCTGGCATACACAGTTGGCTTATGGCTCTTGAATTGAAATGCTTATAGCACATGAAATGTCTTTGAAAAGTTAAGCTAAATACTTTTGAGTAGATTTTCCAAAAAAACTAATTTTTAAAGATGCTTCTGTCGGAACAGTTTCTCTTTATAATTTTCTTCTTATTAAAATGTGATTAAATCAGTGCCTTTAATATAATTTTTTAGTTTGGTGATGCCATTACCATATAAATAACTGTTGATCTATGATGTTAATAGCCTGATTGAATAATTGATCCCATAATATTAATGATTGCTTTGCAAAAATGAAAGAATTCATATTTTTCATTTCAAATTTCTAAGCTACATACTAATTATTTGTGATTCAATGACAGCATCTTAAAATAGGGCTATTACTCAGTTGGTTACATTAATGAACATATTTTTCATATTTAAAGAGGTTGAGGAAAAAACTTGCTGTTTTTAGAGGATAAATACCAGACTGTGATTTTTCATTTGTGTATATATTGGAAACATATAGCAATCATAAAATAATAATTCTGCAAAAGCATTTACATTATTGGAAGGTGCCAACAGCATGAGTCAATAATAGCAATTTTATTTAAAGAGCTGTCCAAATCATCTTCTATAAATAGCCCATGTCAGTAGATCAAAGTGCTTTAGTATGTAAAGGATTTTCTTTTCTATAAAAATATTTCTCAATATAGGCATCATTAAATCAATCTATTTTGGCTTATTCATTTTGAGGCTATGCATTAAAAATTGATAATTACAAAAATGTTAATTTTCCGATGGCTTGAAATGCAATAATAAAATGTATCCATTGTCATCAAACGATGTCTCTTAACCAGGTCCTTTCTGAAAGTTCTTCCCATTTACCTTCAATCAAACTGAACATCACAACTGTAAGAAAGCACATTGAATTTTTTCTGAGGCAGAAATCAATATACAATGATATGATAACATGCCAAGCTGTTTCTTTCCACATGTTTTCATTGCTACAAAAAAAAAAAAAAAAAAAAAAAAAAAAACCAAACAAAAAACTCCTCTTATTGCATTTGTCTGTCACACTAGAAAATCACCCACTCAATCCACTGGGGCACTATGTTCAATTTTTGTCCAAATGCCATCAATGAAGTCACCTCTTACAGGTCTCTACAGTAGCCAGGAACCTAGGTGTTCCTTGAGCACCTTGAGTTCCTTGAGCTATCACTCTGTGCACCACAGGTTTTCTAGATGGAAATTCCTGAAGCAAAAGAAAGGGTAACTGAGATGCAGAGTGAAATGCAACTTGGTTCTTCTTGCTTTCAATTGTTGTCACTACACAGCAATATGAAAAAGCCTACATATTAATTTTTATTTAAATTCCATACGTGAAGTTTTGAATAAGGAGCTAGAAACTTCAAAACACAGAAATAATTGGAAAGGAAATAATTTTACTCCATAGAAAAATAAATTAAGGTATTGGGATGATATCAGAGGATGGTAGGCCACAGAATGATAAGAGAAAGATTGGTGCCTTCAAAAGATTAATGTTCAAATACAATTACCTTCTGTCTATAGTAAAATGTTAACAGCAGGAAATGGCATAATCATAACATAGGCAGGGACCACCTTAGGGAAGGGAACATGCAAAATTTTGGGCCCTTACTACTCATTAAAAACATGAATTGTGTTTTCTTCTGAGACAAGGATTTAAAAGCCATTTTTCTATCAACTATAACTCTTTATTTGGGCCTACAGATGCCCAATACTGATAAGTAGTAGAAAAACAAATCATGACCTTCATTTTATATAACCTTTGTTATTGTCTTTCTTGGGTCAAATCTCTTCTCAGCTCTAGATAGGAGTGTGTTGATCCTTTAGGGAGTGTCTGTCTAAGAGCTTGCTGGACATCATTGTTTACCCTTGATTTTAGACAATTTTATTCCCTTGAAGACTGAGGATACCATGATAAGAGGTTTACAGGAACATTCAGCTACACCCAGAAGCCTCTGGCCATTATTTCCTAAACTGTGATCATATGGATTCCACATGACTGAGAGAACCACAAAGAGAGATAGTCTTTTCCTGGAAATAAAACCATCCCTGACCCACAATAATTCCAGAATTATGCACCAAGAATGAGACAATGATGAGCCAGACCAAAGCTTACCAGCTTATCCTCAACACTAGCTTTCCGCTTTTGCAGGTGGGCCAGTCTGACAGCCTGTATGAGTGTTTCCTTCTAGCTACCTAAGCTGGATTCCTTTTCTGTCTTTCATCTAACTTTCCAATTAAAGCTTTTTTTTCTTCCGGTAGATTTGTGCTTTAGTTTAAATTTCAACTATTACTAAACCAAGGGTTCACATTAGCCAATGACAGAATCATCCACCAGACAAGACAATTAACTAAGACTGAAATCCAAAGCATTAAAAAATGACATTCTATACATCAGTGGCTCTAGAGTTTTTAATTTAAATGCCATAAACCATAAAAATTGTTAAATAAAACCCATAAAAATTGATTTCCTTCATCTTGCTCTACTGAAACTAAATCAGAGAAGTTATCTTATTGTTTAATAAGGGTGGTATAAAATTTTAAAATGATAAATCATTTAGACAAAGAGATTGTTTATTATGACAGGCTATAGTGTTTGTCAACTTGCCTAGATTAAGGGACACATTTCTGGGTGTGTTTTGGCATGTCTGAGAGTGTGACCTGAGGAACTATATCTGGCTCCTAGTCCCTTCCTTTCTAGATTGCAATTTTTCTATAAAGAAATATACTGTTGAATAGATCAAGCTTCAGAACTGTTAAACAGATATCATACCTAGGAACATAAACATGTAATAAGTTTTCCTTATGTTCCAGGAACTGTGCATATATACCTGTTTTCTCAGATAACAATCCTCCATTGTCAACATCTCACAGATAAAGGAAATGAGCTGAGAGAGGTCAAAGAATCTGTCCAAGTAACATGACTGGGATTCAAAATTCTCTCTAGTCCCCTCCAGGAGGCCATTTCATCCAGAGGGATAATAAACACTTGGCTCTTGGTCTCTCATATCATCACCTGAAAAGATTTTAATGACATCATCAAATGGGTTTAGATGTTTGCTTCAGGAACGTAAAACTTACGAAAGTTGCATTCTAACTTGTATATCAATGGTGAGATGACTGTAAGCAGAAGCAACAGAAGAATGACTACAAAGGACAATTCTCAGTTCCAATAGCTGGATGAGCAAAATAAATAAAACAATCATTAAAAGTAACTGTCCCTGGGGCAATTGGTTGTGCATGGCTTGGGTCACATGTTGGGAACATTCCAGTGCTACACTTTCCCTCCACTTGGAAGTAGCAAAAGTTATTCGTGTTTATGAAATGATTAATAGTTTGAAATTTTTCAGACTTGACATTTTCAACCAAATCAATCATTCTGAACCCTCCTAGTTATTTTCTGATTGACTCAGAATGTACAGAATGTTTAAAAACTTGCTTGGACTAAAACAATAATTTTCTACTCAAATTCAGAAATAGTAAACCCAAGCATTTTTGATGACAGAATACATTATCACAAGTACTATTTAATTAAAAACAAGTTTTTAAAGAAGTTTTAGTTTA